TAGGATCCCAAGGTTCTACGACCCTGAAGGTCTCTCCAACCCAACCACTGTAGGATCCCATGGTACCATGACCTTTAGGAGCTTTTCCTACCCAACCTCTTGAGGATTTCATGATTTTACGATCTTTAAGATCACTTCCAACCCAATCGTGGCAGGATCCTTAAAGTCCCTTCAACCCAACCACTGGTTGGGAACTATTGGTCCCCAACGGGAAACCCCATTTGGGAGCACTCTATGGGATTCCTGTCTATGGGGCTCTGCCCATCCACAAGACGGAGGAGTAATTGACAAATAATTATGCAAAGCACTGTTTTCCCAAAATCTGAGTTATTTGAGTCATTCAGCTGCCGCCAAGCGCTCACTTTTCATCATATTTTGTTATGGGATGACTAAGCAGAGGGGTGGGGATGGAAATGTGACTAATTACCATAATGAGCTACGTGTGTTTGTGCGCCACATTACAGCTGTGATGGACCCACGTGCGATAGAACAGAAAGTGGGAAAATGGTTCTAAATCCGCCGCACCGCTCCTGAATGAAGACCAAATCCCTCCCTTGGAATTGTATATTTTCATCCTTTCTGGTAATTTCAGACTGATTTTCAGCTTTGCGAGCAAGGAAAAGCACAAAGCTCTGATGGATGAGGATTTTTTGCTGCGTTTTTTTGGGGGAAAAAATGAGCAATTTTGGTGTGTATCAGAAATTTCACGGAAACTCGAGTTCCCCAAAGTATTTACTTACAACAAGGACCTACATTCCCCAACGTTTTCCCTAAAATAAGGACTTTTCCCCCAGACCTTTTTGCCACAAACAAGGACATTTCACCCAACTTCTTGCTCAAAACAAGAACTTTTCCCCCCTCATTTTGCACAGAATAAGAGCTTTGTTTTTCCCACAACCTTTTTTCAAAACCATGACTTTTCCCCCAACTTTTCACTGAAAAGAGCCACTTTCCCCCCAATATTCTCACGTCTCCCCGAATATCTCAAATTTTCCTCTAATTTTTCTCAATTTTCTTTGAGTATCTCGTATTTTCACCTATTTTTCTCACTTCCACCTGAATTTTTGCCTCTAATCTTTCTCACTCCCACCTCCATATTTCACTTTTTCGCCCTAATTTTTCTCACTTCTTCCTGAATATCTCTAATTTTCTGATACTGTTCTCACTTCCACTTCAATATTTCAATTCGCCTCTTAATTTTTCTCTCTTCCACCTCAATACTTCACATTTTTTCTCAGTTTTTAACTCGCTTCCACCTGAATACCTCAATTTTCCTCATTTTTTTTTCCTGAAATTTCTCTGAATATCTCCAATTTTCCACTCTTTTTCTCACTTTCACCTCATTGAGACAAACATCTCATTTTCTCCTCTTTTTTCACTCCCTCATAAGCGTCCAGTTATCGCTCTATTTTTCTCACTTCCACTTCAATATTTCACTTTTTCTCTCTACTTTTTTCTCACTTCCTCCCGAATCTCTCTTATTTTCCAATATTTTTCCCACTTCCACCTGAATATCTCCATTTTTTCCTCTGATTTTTCTCAACTTTCTCTGCAGATCTTCAATTTCCCTCCAACTTTCCTCGCTCCCACCTCAACGTTCCGCACCTCCCCTTAACTTCCCACGCTCCCACCCCAACTCTTCCCACTCCCCCTCATCTCCTCACTTGCACAGCCACGGGTTGGGGGTTACCTGTAGACGAGGATCTCGTCGGAGGAGCTGTTGTACTGAATCTGGAACATGCGGATCCCGGGGAGGTGCTGCTGCGACGGCCACTGGATGAGCGCGGAGGACGACGTCAGCTCCCCCACCACCACCGCCGCCTTCTCCTGGGGCCCTTTTGTCTCGTTGGGAAAGCTCGATTTGGCCGAGATGAGGATGTCGGACGGGCCGTTCTCCGCCTCCTTCTCACAGTTGGTGCTGTTGGCCAAGTTGGGGTACGGCGTCACCACCAACTCCACCGGCGCCGTCGATTCCCCGGCCGCGTTGGACGCGATGCAGGTGAACGTTCCCTTATCACCCAAAGAAGTCCCCACCAGATCCAACGTCCCGTTTTCGTACGACGTCGTCCTGGAGGTGTTGGAGACCAGCTTCCCGTCGGGGGCGATCCATCGGACGTAGGGGTCGGGGTCGCCCACCGCTTTGCACTTCAAGGAGACGCTCTGCCCCTCGCTCACAGCCACCTTCGGGGTGCGGTGCGTGATCATGGGGGGCTCGCACACAAATTCCTCCTCTTTGATGGACCAGAAGTATTTCCCCATCAATTCCGGCGGCGAAGCGCACGTCTCCAAATCGTCCTCCCTGGTGAGACGCCTCAACCAGACCAACTCGCAGTTACAGTGCAGAGGGTTCCCCCCAAAACTCAGCACCAGCGACGTCAGCGGGGACCCTTTGGATTTGGCATAGACGGGAATCCTGGAAAAGAGTGGATCCGGAGGGATCTTCTTCAGCTTGTTGGAGGTCATGTCCAAGCGGGCCAACTTGTGCAGGTTGGAGAAGATCCCCTCCGGGACGAACTCGATGAGGTTGTGGTCCAAGCTGACCGTGTTGACGTTGGAGAGCTTGGCCACCGTTTCCCAAGGAACGTTGACCAGATTGTTGTAGGACAGATCCAGGTCCTCGATGGTCTCGATGAAGTCGTCCAGCGATCTCGGGGAGATGTAGCTCAGCTGGTTGTTGCTCAGGATCAAATGGCGGAGGTTAATCAACCCTTTGAAATGGTCCTCGTTGATGTAGGTCAGCCGGTTGCTGTCCAGGTGCAACGCGTGGAGGCCCTTAAGATCGAAGAAGGCGTAAGGCATGATCTGACTGATGGTGTTCCTCGACAGGGTCAGGTGGATGAGGTTGGTCATGTTGGCAAAATCCTTCCGCCGCAGCGTGGTGATGAAGTTGTCCATCAGCCGCAGCTCCGCCGTCCTCCGGTCGATGCTGGGGGGCACGAAGAGGAGCCCCGTTTTGGTGCAGAGGATGGTGAAGGACGGGGAGAGGTTCTGACACATGCAGCGCTTGGGGCACAGCATGGCCTTCACCGCCGCGCTGACAACCAGCAGGCAGACGAGCAGCCTGTCCATCGTAGGAGAAGGGCAGACCTGGGGGGAGAGCAGTGGGAAACGCTGTTATGGGGCGGCGTGAGGCACTCTGTGTTGCGTCTATGGGGCAGCTCTGTAGGTTAGGGTTATCCTTTAGGATTTACGCCGTCGTTTCGCCTTTATTGGGTTCTATCTGTGTGGTCCTTATTTCCTATTTACGTCACCGTTCCTACCCATGCCACCATTTCCTATTTACATCATCATCATTCGTATTTATGCCATCGTTTCCTATTTTCTGCCATCATCTCCTAATTCATGCCATCATTTCCTATTTTCTGCCATCGTTTCCTATTTTCCACCATCATTCGCTTTCTATTTATGTCATCATTTCCTATTTTCCACCATCATTCACCTTGTATTTATGTCATTTCCTATTTTCTGCCATCATTTCCTATTTTCCACCTGTATTTATGTCATCATTTCCTACTTTCCACCGTCGTTTCCTATTTTCCACCATCATTTCCTATTTTCTGCCATCATTTCCTATTTTCCATCATTCACTTCCTATTTATGTCATCATTTCCTATTTTCCACCATCATTCACCTTGTATTTATGTCATCATTTCCTATTTTTCATCATTTCCTATTTTCCACCATCATTCACTTTCTATTTATGTCATCATTTCCTA